TTGAAGGTTGGAGATGCTGACTATGAGAAATGGAGGAAGGTCGACTGGACGGTAATCTCCTGGATCTTAAACTCATTATCCAAGGATATAGTGGATGCCTTTATCTATGCTGAATCTGCAAAAAAACTATGGGATGAGATATGTCAGCGTTTTGGAGAAAGTAATGGTCCTTTGATTTACAAGTTGCAAAGAGATATTGCTAATCTGAAACAAGGAGGTGACTCAGTTATGATGTATTTCAATAAGCTTAAGAAAATGTGGGATGAGTATTGTTGTTTGGTGCCACAATTGATCTGTAAATGTGAGGCTGGAAAAAGGATTGAGGAGCAGGATATGCAGAACAAGCTCATGCAGTTCTTAATGGGATTGAATGACAGCTTTGATCATATTAAGAACCAGATGTTGATGATGGATCCTCTCCCTAATGTCAACAAAGCCTATTCAATGATTTTGTCAGCTGAGAGGCAGAGATCAGTGCAAATTGGAATGGAGGATAACACTCACAGTCTAGCTATGGCTTTTAAATCCAACTTTCAGGGGAGAGGAAATAATGTAAGGCAACAATACATGCAACAAGGAGTAGGGAGAGGGAGAGGTGGATACAGAATGTCAAAGGAAGAAAGGTCAAAATTGCTATGTGAAAATTGTGGATGGAATGGACATGAAAAATCAACATGCTTCAAACTGCATGGATATCCAGAATGGTTTAAGGAGATGAGGGATAAGAAAGGTAAATCTGTAGCCAATGCAGTTGACATAGCTGACAATCAATCTAGTTCACAATCATCCAGAACAAGTAGTGGACCAGATATTGCAGCTATTGCACAAGAGGTAGCCAAACTGTTGGGTAAGCAAGGCAAGGAGGAGGAACACTATGTGAACTTTGCAGGTGAAGAAAATGATAATCTATCACATTATGCATTATCACTGTATGAGAGACAGAATGAAAGGGCTTGGGTTATTGACACTGGTGCCAGCAAACATATGTGCACAAGCAAGAAAGCAATGAGAAACCTGACTAGCCTTGCAACTCCTATCACAGTATACTTACCAGATGGTTCTGAGAAGTTGGTATCACTTGTTGGAGAGGTGAAGCTATCAGAAAAATTGACCCTACATGAGGTGCTCTATGTACCTTCCTTTCAATACAACCTGTTGTCTGTGACTCAACTTTGTGAGGCTTCACAATTGAAGTGCATCTTTACATCAGAGAGCTGTGTATTTAAGAAAGAAAGGACAGATGAAATGATGGGTTATGGAACATTACAAGGGAAGTTGTATGTGCTAAGTGAGCACAATCTGGGGGGTGAGAAAGGTTTAGCATGCAAAATCTCTTTGGAGGATTGGCACAAAATTATGGGTCATGCATCACATGGGGTTTTACAGCACCTACCTTTCCTCAAGGAACATTGTGATGAAGGGAGGACACAGAACCTAAAACAGTGTGATATATGTTTCAAGGCTAAGCAACATAGACTTCCATTCCCAACCAGCAAGATCCATACTGTGGACTGTTTTGAAATGGTGCATATGGACCTGTGGGGACCATGCAGAGAGGAAAGTATCACAAACACTCCATATTTTTTAACAGTGGTAGATGACTATAGTAGAGCTGTGTGGATCTTCTTGCTCAAAACTAAAGGAGAGGCTATCAAACACATCAGAAACTTTCTGAGGATGGTGAAAACACAATTCAAGAAGACAGTTAAGGTGGTTAGGAGTGACAATGGACAAGAGTTTGTGGGAACTGAATGCCAAGGGATTTTCTCAGAAGAAGGGATCATACATCAAAGGACATGTGCCTACACACCTCAGCAAAATGGGGTGGTGGAGAGGAAACATAAGCAGATTTTGGAAGTTGCAAGAAGCTGCCTGTTTCAGTCAGGGCTACCATTGAGATTCTGGACATATGGAGTGCTCACAGCAGCCTATATTATCAATAGGCTGCCAAGCTCTTCTTTGAACTGGGAGACACCATATGAAAGGGTGTACAACAAAGGTGCAGATTACCACAGACTTAAGCCTTTTGGTTGCCTAGTATATGCTGTCAATACTTTACCAAAGAGAGGCAAGTTGGATCCCAGGTCCCACAAATGTGTTTTCATTGGGTATGTGGCAGGATGCAAGGGATATTACTTATATGATCTGGAAAATAACAAGGTCATTGTGTCCAGAGATGTAGTTTTCTTCACTGATACTTATCCCTACAAGAAAGAAGAAGTGGAGGGAACAAAGATGGATACCACACTGCCTGTGGTACATGAAGATTTCTCATACACTAAAGAGTCTGTTCAGAATGAAGAAAGTGAAGAAGTCACAGAAGAGAGAGTGATGGTAGAAGATATTGGGAAAAGGAAAAGAAGCAGACCTGCCTGGATGAAGGACTACATTTGTGATATGGGAGCAGCAAGTCCAATAAGTTCCCAGGATGAGGAATTTTTTGTAAATCTAGCAGCAGATCAGGAGCCCTTCAGCTATCATCAAGCAAAGACAGATAAGAAATGGGTGGAGGCAATGAATGATGAGTTGAGAGCTTTGGAACTGAATGGAACATGGAAGTTATGTTACTTACCTACTGGGAAAAAGGCCATTGGCTCAAAATGGGTATTTAAGGTTAAAAGGAAAGCAAATGGAGAAGTAGATAGGTACAAGGCAAGATTGGTTGCCAAAGGATACAGTCAAACTGAAGGTGTTGATTACTTTGAGGTTTTCTCACCTGTTGCAAAGTTGGTGACAGTTAGGGCATTCATAGCTATGGTGGCAATGAAAGGATGGAAATTATGGCAGCTAGATGTGAATAATGCGTTTTTGCATGGCTATTTGTCAGAGGAGGTGTATATGAAACCACCACAAGGATACACAAAGGCAAAAGAAGGACAAGTTTGTCAGTTGGTGAAGAGTTTGTATGGGTTAAAGCAGGCATCAAGAGAGTGGAACACTGAGCTTACTAAGAAAGTGCTGGAATTTGGTTTGGTTCAATCCTCATCAGACAATTGTCTGTTTACTCAAAAGGGAGCAGAGGGATATTTGGCAATGCTGGTATATGTGGATGATGTGCTATTCACAGCTTCCAATATTCAGCTACTTGAAAAATTGAAGGGATTTCTTGACAGGGAATTTACCATTAAAGATTTAGGAGAGGCCAAATACTTCTTGGGAGTGGAGATTTTAAGAGATGCAGAAGGCATAGGGTTGTGCCAACAGAAATATGTAATGGACTTGGTTAAGGATATGGGAGTTGAAAACAGCAAAGCACCACCTACACCTCTGCCTATGGGACTCAAATTGATGAACTTTGATGGGAGTCCACTGGAGGAAGGAGATCAATACAGAAGGCTGATTGGGAAGCTGCTATATCTCAACTTAACCAGACCAGACATTAGCTATGCTGTACAACAGCTTAGCCAATTTGTGAATAGCCCTTATAGTAAGCATTTGGAAGCTGCAGTTCATGTGCTGAAGTACTTGAAAGGAACAGCTACACTGGGTCTCTATTATAGGAGGGCAACAGATCACATACTTGACAGCTATTGTGATGCTGATTGGGCAGCTTGTAAGGATACAAGGAGATCTATCACCGGGTATTGCATTTTTCTGGGAGATAACTTGATTTCTTGGAAGAGTAAGAAGCAGACAACTGTGTCTCGTTCTTCAGCAGAAGCTGAGTACAGGTCTATGGGAGCCACAGTTTGTGAGTTGCAGTGGTTACATTCCTTGAGCTTAGATCTGGATTTAGTTCTTCCACTTCCTATAACACTATGGTGTGATAACAAAGCAGCCATGCACATTACGGCTAATCCCGTGTTCCATGAGAGGACTAAACATCTCGAGATTGACTGCCATGTAGTGAGAAACAAGTATAAAGAAGGGTTTATTCAGCTTACTTATGTGCCTTCTTCTTCACAACCGGCAGATATATTCACCAAGATACTACCGGCAGCACATTTCAAGCTTCTTGTTTCCAAGTTGGGCATGGTCTTTCACCCAGCTCCAACTTGAGGGGGGGGTGTTGAAGTGTGAAGCTTGAATGATACAGATGCAGCTCAAGCTGTTATGGCAATGCAGCAAGTTTTCTTTCTTCTTCTTCTTTTGTTTTAGTTGAAATCGTGTTTCCTTTTTGTTCTTTTATTTTCTGCGCTATTTTAGTAGCAAACGGTGTCGTTTGTTTGGGGTTATTAGTTGGTGACCAAAACTATGTCGTTTTGGTGCACTTTAAGGGGTTTGGATATTGGATCGGGTATATATATAATCTACCCATGTACTTTTGAGCTAAGAGAATTTTACCTGAAATGAAAATGGAGTTTTGTATATTTTCCCTGCACTTTTACAGAAACTCTTCAAAATATAATTATTTAATATCTTATATGAAAAATCTAGTAGCAAATAAAAAATTATTAACTTCAAAAATAGATAAATTAGCACATGCATGTTCCTAATTTCAACAGTGTTCAAAAATTTGACTAATTTAGTCACCACAAAGGCTTAGGTTAGTGATAGACAGGTTGAATATGTTTAGGCCACGTTTTTTTTTTTTTTTTTTTTTT